GGGGGGGAGGTGGTATAGACCACCCACCTAGGTGGGTAGATATATGGGGACAGCTCCTAGGAATGTGTTCAGTAATAGCAAACATAGGTGGTTCAAGCGCAACCACCTACAAAATCTCTAAATAAAACTCCTAGCTGGCTAAAGACAGCAGGCTCTAGCCCTGGAATCTAATCCAGCTGGTACAACCGGTGATTGGACAATCACACCAAATTATTTTTGCTCTGGCACACGTACCCCTCCACCTGCCAAATAATTTCCAATAAACCCTGCATCATACCTTCTTCCACGGATTATTGTTATTCTATGTCATTCAGTGCTGAAAATTATTTAGAAACAATATATCAAAATAGTATTTTACTATTTTGCAACATGCCATACTATATTTTTCTACATGGTAGATATTATTTTGACCCACCACCTACATGGCTTTCCAAATAATACTTTATGGATTAGATAGGATACTGGTCTCTTTAAATGGGGGGTTCTGTTTTTTCCATACAAACAATGTTGGGCGGAAGGACCTATGTAACAAAAACATGTTGTTACCTTTGCCTATAACCTTTACCAATAGAAGGACCTGTGACCTGTATCCTTTTGCTGTCTTACATTACACAGAAAATAGTATAGATATGTGATATGTGCTATTATTGTTATTTGTTTATTATCAGCTAGCAGCTCATGGTTTCATTGGCCGGGTGCATTCTGCACTCGCTTGAATCATTTTTTGGGTCAGTGAATGACCATTGGAGCCGGCCAACTGCTGATGGGCCCAAGTGAGTGGTGTGGGTGCTCCAACGATGGAAGCCATGGATAGAAGCAAAAGCACCCTTGGCGGGGAGTCATGGCATCAAAGTTAAAGAGTCACAAAGGGCAGTCACAAGTACTGTCAGAAGGAGCATGAGTCTGACCAAAATGAATAAGATTTTTTTTCCACATCACTTATGATTTTATATGTTTGGCTTTCATGCTGCGATTCTCACACAGATCGATGAAGGTGTCGCTGTGCACCATCACTTCCGCCAAAGTACTTTGCACCATCATCATGTTTGCTGAGACACTACTTCAGGAGGCGCCCATCAAGGAGAATCTTGAGCTGGTCGTGACAATGTGCAAAGATTGCTTGGGGACTTCCAAGGATGATTTGCCAGTGAAAATGCGAAAGCTCGTCAATGATATACTCTCAAGCCGTGACCAAGGCAAACAGCCAAAAAAGAAGGCAGCGGCAAATGCTGAGGAACAGCAGTCCAAAAAGAGGGCAATTCCTGATGACTCGGGTGCTGCAGGCAGCAAGAAAGCGAAGAAAGACAACGAAAAGAAGGTGGCAACCAAAAAGTGATGTGCTGATCGACCGGGATGAGATGAAGTACAAGCCAAGTGATAGTGCCATTGAATCCGGATTTTGTTTGTGGCATTTGGTTTCATGAGCGCGCTCAGACTCATATATAGACTCGCATATGAAGATTGTAAGGGCTTGTAATTGTTCGTAAAGATTCGATAAACATTAACATTCACTGACTGTAACTACTTAGACTTCCTCCCTCCTTTTCACAAATTTACAAAACAATACTGAATTGGAATTTGCAGATATTTGCAGTATTATTTTAAGTGTTTTGATTCTGATGCTTTCAGTTCAGTGCGCTTTGATTCCTTGTGCCCTTCATGAAGTGGCTGGCCAGCTATGGCTTTTTGACTGAAGGTTGGGATCAAAAAAGTGATTGATTGGCCGATTGAGTCTGCTTTGCACGGCATGTCAATGGATGCATGCTTCAGGTAGTTACTAGGCATGTTACGTGCACCCTCGGCCCCCACACAATTTGTTACATAAGGTAGGGTCTGGGACATACAGGGCCAACAAACAAAGCTATTTAATTTATGGATATTTTTTAAAACAGTATTTGGAGAGGAGACGGTCACCTCAACATAATTTAGGTTGCCAAGGCCTATCACATATGTATATATATCGAATCATATAAAGGTATACATATGTGTATGATACAGAACTATACTTTACTCAGTTTAAGTGTTTTTGATGTGAAGTCGGTGTTCAATGATATTCTCAATGGACCTTGATGGCTCATTTCTTGCCAAAGCCAGTGCAGGGCTTGAAGTTGGCGGTTTCTCGACCCATGCACTTTCCACCCTCCTGTCATGGCTTTAAGATTGCTATACCTTGTCCGCAGAACCAACACATGACAAAAAAGTCAAACAACAACATCCAAGCAAACAATCTCAAACTGTAGTTGCATGCTAAAATCGTGATCCGTCCTTTTCCAAGAACTTCCTCATGTCAGAATCGTGCAATGCTGCAGCATACACGGCTGTCTGACCATCATTGTTCATGGCATTCACATCTGCCTTTGCCTCCAACAACTTCTGCGCAACCTCCACAGATCCCTTTTTGTAATGGTTCCCAATGACTTGGAAGAGAACTGTGTTGCCGAACTGGTCCTTCTTCGTTACATCGGCACCTGCTTCCAACAACACCTGGATGATGTCCGAAGAAACATTGGGATGAAGACGGCTCTCCTTCGCAGCCCAGAAGAGAGGAGTTTTACCTCCTCCACAGTTGATGTCCACTGCAGCCTTTGCATTCAGCAACGATTGCACCATCTTGACAGACTTTCCCCGAGCAGCCTGTGACAAAGGCGTCCCATAAACAGAAAACCTCACGCCCCTGTGAGCAACATTCACCTTCGCCCCCATCTTCAGCAAAAACTCCACAGCTGCGTCCTGGGACCGCAACTCTGAGGAGGGTGGAAAGGACGGAGAAGAGATTTGTGATGATTTGCGAGTGGGTAGCGGACAGTAAGAAGAGCAGACAGGGTGGGGTGCGTGTTTCTTTCTAGTGAGCTGTGGTGGTGTTGATGTGTGGTATGTGGTCTTCCATGTTTGTCTTGGAACTTTATATAGTGATTTCTGGAGATCCGTGGTCATGCATGCATGGAGATGCGTAGTCACTTGCATACAACAACAATGATTTTGGTGCCACGTTGATTCGTTGAGGCTACCTGTGGTGTTTTGCAGTCGAGTCTGATTGTTTCGGTGCATCTGTGGTGATCCGTGGTGATGTGTAGTTCGCAGGCGGGGCCCACGGCAAAAGTAATTGGAATTGAACATTAGTTCCTGCTCCATGGTTCGGCGAATAGAAAAAATTGCAATCAAGGACACGAAGGGCCTGTTCAACCATTTTAAATAACAGCATCTGTCTGGGACCCTGGAACTCTGGTTCACTTAGTCACTTGGACAGATGACAACTTCAGCTAAGTTCCTTTGCGGGTCCACCATATGACTGGTCCGCCACAAAGTGGAGAAACGTCACAGGCTCCCCAGTGGGGGGACCGCCGAGCAAGGTTGCGAATGGGCTCTTGCGTGCTGTAGCCAAAAACCTCAACCAGGTTTGGACTGCTCATGAAGCATGCGTGCATGTATGCATGTATGTATGTATGTATGTGATTGTATGTGTGCATGTGTCGTATGAGAGACCTCCTTGTATAATACAACGTGATGATCATCACTGCATTAAAGAACGAACCCAATTTGTAAGCCCAAATAAACATAGTTACAGTACATTACTTCGAGTGACGCCCACCCTCACAAAAATAATTGGGCGCGGGTCTATATCCTGGAACGTCAGCTGGCAGATCGCTCACCCTTTCATGGTTCCCCTCGCCGCTTGAATTTCAAAATGCAAGTCAAGCCGATTACGCATCCTCAGTCAGCTATTTTGAAAACGAAATCTTTCACTGTGAGACTGTGAGGCGCCTCTTCAATTTCGGAGAAATGGTCACCCTTCATCTTCGGAACCAGAACTTTGAAGACCGCACCCCCCTGCAATTGAATAACTGTGAGATCGCACTCCCACAAAGTCTGCAGCGGCTGCACTGGGCAGCACCACACTCTGCCAGTGCTCCAAGCTGTCGCAATAACACTAATGACCAATGATTCTCGCCCTCAGTTGGCGCTCTTCTTGTGACCGCCTTCCAACGCATCTAGCGCGAGTCAACCTCCGGAGATTAAATTTTCTCCAACACGCGTTCATCATCTCGTGTGTTCTGCCAACTTGCGCCGGCCATCCCCCCCGACATATGTTCTGATGCGCGTTCTTGATCATTCTGGCACATACGCTGTAGAAGGCGTGCGAAGTTTTCCCTACGCATGTTCTGGCATATGTTCCGACATTCGTTGTGATATGCGTTCATTGTCCTGACATTTGCCATCAAACCTGCCATTTGTTTGGACGTGTGCTTTGCCCATGTTCTGTGGGCTTGTGTCCGTTCTGTTGATTCTTTGCGCTGCTCGGCAAGAACTGGCGCAGGCGTGGGGTACTTCCGATTCCTCTTGCTGAAGTTGGAAGGCCCCGCCAACGCACAGCTTGTCATAGATGGAGGGCTGAAGTTGCTCAAGTTCTTGTTCGACTTCTCCCTTGAGGGAGTTGTAGAAGCACATGTCGGACATGAAGCGGCGAGCGTGCGCTTGCCACAACCTGACCTTCTTATCACGCCTCTTGTGTAGCTCAACAAGTTGATCTGACCTGGACAGTAGATTGCAGCTTCTTGGAGTTTTCTTGTCCCTCTCGCCACGGTCCTTGTAAATCTCGAGAATTCGTCTGACCACTTGATGTTTGCGTTCAATCGAGCCAATCCAGTTGTGGCTCTCAACTGGTGCAATCTCCAAAATCACAATCTGTTCGGAACACCAATCTAACTGACTCAGACTGTAAGAATCACACTCAATTTCCTTCACCAGATCAACTGACTGTTCACTCTTCATGATGCGCGCTGCAATGTATCTTGTTGCTTGATCCAACTATGTCATCACACAAACACGACCGTCATCTGTGTCAATCCATGCCGTGTCAGACATGAGTCTTTCTCCGAACACCTGTGCTGTCAGACCTGCTGCTGGAGGAACGCCTGCTTGAACTTCCTCCAACATTTTGCACAACGCGTTGGAACTCAGGTGGCCCAGATTGCGATGAAGTCGCGCAACATAGTTCACTGCAGCCTTGCCCACTTGACGCCTCAGCATGGCATTGCTGGCGACGGGATCTGGATTGCCATTACCATCTTGAAACAAGCCCTTGACCAGCACTGGTCAGCCACCGTGCTCAATCACCTCAACTTGTCTGCTACCTTTGTCATCTGGAATGACTTCAACGGGAATGACCTCAACTTCGGGCATGTCAACATCTTCATCTGCAGCATAGATCTGTGAGTCTGAGGGATCTGCTTGCATCAATGCTGCCAGCCTTGGCGAGCTTTTCTGGGTAGTCCTCGGCAAGTGAACTGCGATTCTTGCCGCCTGGAGCATTCCTTTCAATGGGGACATGGACATGGGAACCATCACAAACCATGTCAAGCCTTCGAAAAAGCTCAACTTCGCCGTCCATCAGCATGCAGGCTTCTTTGCAGGCCCTGGTGCTCCTGCATGGCCGGGGATTGAGAGACCATACATGCACTGATCAATGTAGGTGTCATACCCGATTCCTCAAGACACGCAAATTCTCGTGTTCCATGCTCTGCTAAGCCAGGGATGTTCCAGCGTGGCTTCACGTCCTCCTTTGTACTGCTCTTGAAACGCAATGCCACACATCGTCAAAATGGTGTCACGGTGTCATGATTGTGCTGTCGGTCTTCTGCAAGCTCCAAGCGATACTTCTCCGACTTCTTCGCTATGTTCAACTCCTGAGTGGATGACCACAAGTGACACACCGGAGACATCAACAACTCATCTGGCTGCTCTTCTCGAAGCCTGTGCAAAAACCGTGAGCGGTGAGATGCGATTCTGAAATCCCACCCGATCTGGAGAGAAAAGATCTCGGTCTGCACATGGGGAAATTTCTCCAAGAATTTTGTTGTCCTGCCTTTCCCCGCGAACACTTCCCACACCACACGACATTTGCTTTGTCCTCAACTCTGCACGCTTCTTCTGCCTGCCGTTCAAGCTTTCTCAGCATGTGTCCATGAAGACGTTTGACCTTGCCGATCTCCCCCTCCTGAATGCCGTCTTGTCGACGTGCGTGAGCCGATTCGACCGCTAGGCTGCTGAGGACTTGACACGTCCGAAGTGTCCTCGGCAACCATCACCTCCTCAAGCAATCTCTGGATGCCCTGCTCATTCGGTTCACCGACATGAGCTTCGGTGTCTTCTGGAAGAAGCACTTTGTGTGGTTCATCATTGATGCACTTGCAAATGTCATGACCAAGGTGAAGAAGATGTTCAACTGTGTCTCCCAGTCGCTGTCAGGCCATTTCATCAACTTCTTCTGATAGTCAACTGTCAAGCGCAACTGTTCCAACAATGGTCGTCCAACCAAGATCGGTGCAGTGCCCTTGATCACATAGGTCAAAACATCTCCCACAAAAATGGGCAACGCCTCACACCTGTTTGTTGTCCCCTTTGGGCTTTTTCCGTATTTGAAGCCCTTCTCACAATGACACATTGGGACGCTGTGAGTGTCGAAGCCTTCTTCAAGCAGAAAACGAAGATATTTCTTGATCTGCCATGCTCTGCCAAAGACGGAGGCTGTTCCACCATCCTGCTGTGCTATATCGCCTCCGACAAAATCATCATCATCATCATCTAAATCAATGTGAAAGGCCTCTGCGGCAGCATTCACCCCTTCAACCATGTTCACTCCGCTCTCAGGCTCATCACTCATCTTTCTCTTCTTGTCGCTACCGGGTGGCAGCGAAGGCGTAGTTGTCTGCCTGCACCTGAGCCCATAGCTGCTGCCGCCCTCCCTTTTGGATTGATTTGCCACCCTTCGGACTGGATTCTTGCCCTTGGATGACTTGGACTTTCCACCACCTTTTCGAGCTTGGCCACCCGAAACATTGCCCGACATGTTCTGTGGCAACATGAAACAACGGGGTAGAATCCACGCAAAGTCCTCAATGCATTCATCTTTGCTTTTGCATCTTGATAATTGGCATAGATGTCATCAAACTCGTCAACATCATACACCTGTTCATTGCCATCAACTACAAAAACAATGTCGTCAATGCTCTCTGTTGTATTGTCCGGCCAATCATCCTAATCGAAGTCTTCACCGTAGTACGTTGGGGAGGGATCAACTGACACTTCATCCGACCCAGCTGCCCAATCGTACGTCAGGTCTTCATCGCAATAGTATGCGTCGATTGGCTTGCCTGCAGGACAAGTCCACCAAGATGATGTTGACTGCAATGTTGAACTCTGTCCAAGAATGAAACTCATGGACTTCAGATTCATCACTTCCTCAATTGTCAGTCCTGTTGTCCCAGTGTTTCTCAAAATCAACTGCCGTTGTTCTTTTGCAATGCCGCTGCGACGCAAAAACCACCATGCACGAACCTTCTCCGGAAGATTGACAGAATGAGTCACTTGCAATCGTCTCTCACATCTTGTATAGTCGTTCAAGTAGCCCTGGAGAGTTTGATTGAGCTTCCTCTGCAAGCGCACAAAATTTGTCCGGGAGTTCAGTCCAAGGATCATAATTGAACCCTCGACACAATCGTGCAAACAGGATATCGCAAGCGTCTTCTGCAGCCATCTGGTCCATGGTCATGTCTTCAACTAACCCCCATGCTTTTCCAGTCATCAACGTCACCAGGTTGTAAACAACTTCCGACCCACGGTTTCCAAGCTGCATTTTCTTCTGGTAGATCTCACATCTTTTCCGAAACTCTCGGTAGTCTTGCATCTGATTGCTAGAGACAGGC